CGATGCCTTGACTTTCCCTCTAAAACGGGAATGTCAAACTCATTTTGCATTGTGAGCCACCAACAGCTCGCTGTGACCTGAAGTGGGTCGGACCAGTGAAACTCTTTCTGTCGGTGTCGCTGCACATTTGATCCCTGAAATATTTTGATATAGGAAAAATAGACATGCAGTTTCAACTACATGCTGCTGCAGTAAATGAAGGAAATCTGTCAGCCTGATTCTTTGGGCTTAAATTGATGGCCTCTTTCATATTTTCCATCCTGTCGGGTCAACTGTAGTCTTTGACGGGCCGATTCTGGCCCCCAGGCTTTATATTTGACACCCCTGCTGCAGAATCACCACGTTTTCTAAATGACTTAAAGTCACAGTTCCCAAATGGGAACGTCTGTTCCCTTTGGCGATCTTCCTGTCACGCCACTCGCTGACATTTTTGTTTTGACGGATCTTCTTGTAAATCAGCTTGTAATTTTCCCAGTGTCCACTTCTGCAGTGCTTTGTTCTTGGTATCGAAACTAGGATTAAACTGAGATCTACCAAAATGACCATCCTGTCTCACAGAGCGCCCGCACTTTGACGTTCTGATCAAGACGCCGTCGCACATCCTTGCTGGAGACGACGTCTCAGGATCAGTGAGAGCACTGTGAGCTCATCTGGATCATTTCAGCCAATATCATATTTTCATACATATAAGTGAAGCAAGTGAAGCAGTATTAGTGTGTTTTTCCATGTAGGTATCCCGATGGACGACCCTTAGGTGGAACATTAGTTGTTTCTCTGGAGTCTGCAATGAGCAACACGACCTCTGCTATGCAAACTAAAGAGGTGAAGCTCTTCGTGTCCCCGTTTCTTCAGTTTTTCATCGTCTTTAATCATAAAGTGAAACAGGAATAGAAACTATAAGCTTCTCTTTCAGTTCTACGGATCAACACGGTTTTTCTTCAGCAACGATCAACTCCAGGCTCTGCACACCTCATCAGTTAGCAGTGACGGTCGTCCCACTGTGCACATTACCGTCTCCGTTAACGACAGCACCACAGGTACGACGCGTTTTAATAAACCAGCGTTGCTGCAAGTATAACTTTAACTTCACCAAACAACATAATATTCTTTGTTAAGGGTTTAAAGTGAACAAAACTGTGAAAGTCCACCTGATGCAGAACGTATTCCAGCTCACATTCCACCATTTTCCACCCACGCTAAAGCCGTCGTTACACTTCTCTACTAACGTGAGTTATTATTATTATCATAACTCACGTGCCAGAGCCTTTTGGACACAGTATTAGTGCCTC